AGCATAGTGCCTAAGGCACTTGACTGCTAACCAGAAGGCTGGCTGCTCAAACCCACCAGCCACTCCTCGGAAGGAAGGTTGGGCAGTCCTACTTCCTTAGTGATACTGCCTCGGAAACCCAAGGAGGGGTCGCTATGAGTCGGGGCCGACTCGACGGCAAACAACAACAACATGAACTTTGCACAGGTATAAAATCTTATATTTTAAAAGTTCTTTCCATGCATAATGTTGAAGCTCATGGATAAAATAGGACTGGTCCATCCCAGTGACCCAGATGACTAACTGTTGTTGTTATTGTCATGTGCCATTGAGTCAGACCCGACCCATAGCGACGCCTCCTTGGGTTTCTGAGCCAGTATCATTACAGAAGTAGATTGCCCCATCTACTAGGAATGTGAATTTACCCTCAAGTTTGTTCCAATTAGTGGCAATTAGCTACTTAATTCATTTGCAGAATAGGGAACTGGGCACAAAAATTTCTTTCCTTAAAAACCAAATCTACTGAAGCCTATGACCTACTATCTTCTCCCAGTAGGGGCTCTTTGTAAAAGAAGGCTTATTACTTGAGCGGATATTGTTAGAGCACTCATGCCCATTCTTCAACAAGGAAGACTACTGGACAATATATGGATGTAAGACATGTTGCTTCCAACGATTGACTTAGAAACTTCATTCACATTTATGACTGAATAAGATGGGTGAGTCCATAGTGATGCTATTATAACTATGTCCATGTAGAAAGCAACTCACCTACTTTCCTTTTCACTGAGAACTTTATAAAATATACTAAAACTGGGCTTCAATTTAATGTGTGTACTTAATTTTTCTGATGCATTCAGTTTATATATTGTTGTTATTATGTGCCGTCGAGTCGGCCCCGACTCATAGCAACCCCTCCTTGGGTTTCCAAGGCACTATCACTACGGAAATAGATTGCCCCATCTTCCTTCCAAGGAGTGGCTGGTGGGTTTGAGCAGCCAGCCTTCTGGTTAGCAGTCAAGTGCCTTAGGCACTATACTACCAGAGCTCCCTACATATACCTTAAATAGTGGTTCCAGAAAAAGACTGAATAAAGACTGAATTTTACTTCAATTTGTTTATCAATAGTGATTATTGCAGAAACAATACATCTGATAAGATCAATGATTTTACATATATATAAGTAGTTGTGGTGTAGTGCCTAACGCATTTGACTGCCAACCAGAATTTGGTAGTTCAAACCCACCAGCCACTCTGCTGAAAGAAGACTGAGCAATCTACTTCCACAAAGATTTACCACCTCGGAAATGCAAAAAGGGGTCGCTATGAGTTGGAATTGACTTGATGGCAGTGAGTTTGTTTGTTTTTCTTTCTATATATATATAGAAATATATATATTGTTGTTGTTGTTTGCCGTCGAGTCGGCCCCAATTCATAGCGACCCCTCCTTGGGTTTCCGAGGCAGTATCACTACAGAAGTAGGACTGCCCAACCTTCCTTCCGAGGAGTGGCTGGTGGGTTTGAACCCCCGGCCTTCTGGTTAGCAGTTAAGTGCTTTAGGCATTATGCTACCAGAGCTCCTTATATATATGTAAAATCATTATATATATATATATATATATATATATATATATATATATATATATATATATATATATAGCCACACATATACACACATCATAAAAGTAGGCAAAGCACATCAGTATCCAATAAAACAAGGATTTTCACTGAAGAACACTAAATGTTTAAACTTGAATCACTTATTACCAAAATAATGTATCCATACATAGCCTTTTTTTTTTTCTTATATATGTTCATAATTAATTACATTTAGAAAACTATCTTTTTCTGGACAAACCAACCACAGATTCGCCATTAAAATAAGCAGTGGGCTTTTAAAGAAATATACTTACAAAGCCATCCATGGCCCAATTTTCCTCCTTCATTTTCTTGACAGAAGCATGACCTGGTACTTTAACAAGATAGATGTGGAGCATTAGGCGAGCTTCCTGGCTTTTGTATACCCCTGTAAAATACAACAACATTTTAGTCTACTTAGTAGTATAAATAGTTTTGGTTTGTAACTCTTTTAATATATTATATAAGATAATTGATAAAGATAAAATTTAAGCAAAGATCCAAATCAAGGATCACTTCATGCGTAATGCTTGCTATTAACATTGTAATCTACCCTAATCTCTCTTTTGTCTGAAATTTCCAATTTACACCTTAATTTTAAAGGTTAATTACCTAGGCTATTAAAATTAATTACTGTTTCAATAATATCATTCCATGATAACTCAAACAAAATGATTATTGCCCTCAATCAGACTGAAAAATAGTTAAGTGTATGAATCAAATGATAAAATTCCTAGTATATCCCATAATGATGAATTGTGTGCCAAATCTGAAAAAGAGAGTATTCTAGGTGACCCTGATGAATATATGTCCTTCCTAACCTTACAGGTTTTCAGTAAAATAATATATAGGTAGGTATGTTGTTGTTTGGTGCCATTGAGTCACCTCTGACTCATAGCGGCCCTATGTACAATACAATGAAACATTGGTCCTGTGCCATTCTCATAACTTTTGCTATGCTTAAGCCTATAGTCACAGCCACTGTGTCAATACATCTTATTGAGGGAATTCCACTATTTCTATGACCTTCTATTTTTACCAAGCTTGACATCCTTTTCCAGGGACTGCCATGACCAAAGTAGGTGAGATGGATCTGGCCATTCTTGCTTCTAAGGAGCATTCTGGCTGTACTCCTTCCAGGACAGATTTGTTCATTCTTCTAGCAGTCCATGTTCTTTTTAGTATTCTTTGCCAACACCTCAACTCAGAGGAATCAATTCTTCTTCAGTCTTCCTTATTCATTTGTCCAGGTTTAACATGTATATGAGGTGATTGAAAATACCATGGCTTGGATTAAGCACACCTTAATCTTCAAAGTGACATCTGTGTTTTTTAACACTTAATGAGGTCTTTTGCAGCAGATTTTCCCAATGAAATATGCCATCTGATCTCTTGACTGGTTCTTCCATGGTCATTGACTGTAGATCCACATAAAATGAAATCTCTGACAACTTCAATCTTTTCTCCATTTATTGTGATGCTGCTTATTGGTCCAGTTGTGAGGATAAAAATCCTTTACATTTTCTTTATGTTGAGGTGTAATCCATTCTGAAGGCTTTAGTCTTTGATCTTTATCGGTAAGTGCTTCAAGTTATCTTTATTTTCATTAAGCAAGATTGTGTCATCTGCACATTGCAGGTTGTTTAATGAGCCTTCCTCCAATCCTGATACTGTGTTCTTCTTCATATAGTCCAGCTTCTTGGATGATTTGCTCAGCATGCAGATTGAATAAGTATGATGAAAGGATACAAACCTAGCACACACTTCCTGATTTTAAACCATTCAGTAAGTATCCCCTTGTTTTGTTCGAACAACTTTCTCTTGGTTTATATACAGGATCCTCATAAGCACAACTAAGTGTTTCTGAATTCCCATTCTTAATAATGTCATCCATAATTTGTTTTGATCCACAAAATCTAATGCCTTTACATAGTCAATAAAACACAGATAAACATCTTTCTGGTATTCTTTGCTTTCAGGCAAGATTCCTTTGACATCAGCCATGATAACCACTCCATACCCCATTCTGAATCCAGCTTGGATTTCCAGCATTACCCTGTCAATATTCTGCTGCAATCATTTATGACTCTTCAGCAAAATTTACTTGTGACATTAATGATATCATTCTATGATTTCCACATTCTGTTGGTCTTCTTTGTAGCCATATGGATATTATCCTGTCACTGACAGCATTTTACTTCAGGATAGATCTTGAAATGTTCTTTTTGATGATGGGTACATTTCTACTCCTCTCCAATTTGTCATTTCAGTCATAATCGACCATATAATTGTCTCATTCAAAATTACCAATTCCAGTCCATTTCAGTTCATTAATGCCTAGGATATTGACCTTTATGCATTCCATTTCATTTTTGACAATTTCTATGTTCCATAAATTCACACTTCATAAATTCCGTGTTCAAATTATTAATGAATGTTTGCAGCTTTTTCTCACTTACTTTGGTCATGTTGTCAGAAGGCCCCATGCCTGGACGAAGAAGATCATGCTTAGTAAAGTAGAGGGTCGGTGAAAAAGGGAAGACTCTCAACAAGATGGATTGATACAGTGACTGCAACAATGGGGTCAAGCACAATAAGGATTGTGTGGATGGCTCAGGACCAGGCACGTGTTTCATTCTGTTAAGGTCCCTGTAATTCAGTGCCAATTCAACGTAACCACACAACAACATCCCAGAGTCTGAAGATATCTGAGAAGATATCTCAATGGGGAGAAGAAGCAGAGCAACCAAAACATGTAGGGGAGTGTGTTCCAGATAGAGAAAACAGAAGCTGGGTGATAAGGCTAAGCAAGGGGTATAGCTCTGGGTCTCTTTGCCTTATTTAAACTAATATAGCTCCACCTTTTCTGTTAAATGTGCATATCGTCTAAACACTGTAATTTGAAGAAACACATTTGTTATCATAAAATAGTGTAAAAGTCACTGATGCAATCTCTTTGGTTTTATGAGCATAGAGCAAATTTTAATTGTATTCAAGTAAAAAAAAATTTGTTCTAATTAATGCCGTTTCAATGTAGCTATGTAAAAGCATACTTCGGGGATCTTATTTAAGAATCACAGAGTTTTTATATTTGTGTATTTATATCCATCTCTCAATTTAATAACTGAAAACTTTGTTTCTGATTTACTTATGAATTTTATTTAAAAATAAACGTAGGATATATCTCACTGTCTAAAAATCATTACATAAAAAGGGTTAGTCTTGAAAAAATGCAAGGATCAAGGTCTCATGCTATGTTGTAATGTGATACCTGAAAGAAGCAGTTCCATGTTGCTGTTGCTGAGTGTTGCATTAACAATCCCAGTGGAAGCATTGAAACTAGTAACTGTCAAGGTCATGGGTTGTTTCCTTCCTTTGAAATTGTAAGAGCCTTTCCATATGTAATTTTGGGCAAACACATCATCAGGAACTGAGAATGCATTAAATAAACAGACACATTAATTTTACAGTGCCATATAGATATAAGCATTAAACAGAAGATTATTCAATATTAGCATGTTGAATAATGGTATTTTGGTAAATGCACAAGATTGTTGAATGCATGTGATAAAATGAATTCTTCAGGGAAAACTTTTCCAATTTCTTTAAAATAAATCAAAATTAGAATAGACTTGATTAATTTATGACTCTGTCAATAAGAGAGAAATAGACAACACCAGTTAAAGACATGAGGTATATATTTACAACCCAGGAAGTTCCAAGCATTCAGGTTTGATCTCCT